CGAATTTATTTACGTGTCCTGACGACGACGGATCTAAAGGAGAGTTGCTGTTTTAGATTGAGATTGATTGGCTTGCTGGTTCACGGCATTCCTTATAAGGGAAAGAGAATGAGAAGAAAGAGGCAATCTTTTCTTCCAGAATACAAGTTCTGCTGGTCCGCTAAATTTATCTATATTTTTAATGTAATGTTCTGAGTCATAAATTGTCACTTTCGCCTGATAAAGATACCGGACTGAATCGAAAAAAAACTCTGATCAACTTTGAAATTTACTGAGGTATAATCAGACCGGTTAAAAAGCAGAAGTAAAGAGAGTAGACAAATCAAAATGATTGATCTAGGAACCAAAAATGTTTATAATGATGATCAATACCAAAGACACGGAGAACTTCACCGGATTTTCATACTGTGGAATCCTCCGTAGTGAAAATATCCCCCGTTTCTCCGACGTTTAAACGACGCATATCTGTCGACACGAACTATTACACTGGGGCCGTCCAATTGTCCATCACATCTTTTTCTCAGACAAAAGATACTGTTTTTGTAAGCATAATTTATACGCTAAATCAAGAAAATTATTTTGTAACTGGAGAGAATTGTCTGTCAACAACACTCCCATATACGCTTTGAAATTGCTCAGATATCACGCCGTTACGCGCGGTTCGGCGACCTCACAGTTTCTTGAGAACACCATCACACCGGAATTAATAGATGTGCCGTCTACTGGACAGTCTTGCATCAGCATATCGAATTTTGGCCAGGGATTACCTACCCCTTCGCGAAATAGCCGGCTAAAGTAGCATATACATTGGTCATTTCAAGTACAGTAAATCGGTTCTTGGCCACACGTCTCGGCCAAGGTGCGATATGGCCAGACAATTCGGGAACTTGCCGTAACATCTATAAACATTTAAACCAATTTTAAAGTTATGTTTAACGCCTATTTTGAAGCCAAATTTCTTGACATTTTAATCATTTAACATTATTATAAACCAATAATCGTTTGTCATTAAACTGTAATTTAAAATTTACTATTTAAAGATTCGTATATTTCAAAACGTTTAAACAAAATTCATGAAAATAGCCTACATCTGGTCCTTAAATCCTTTACTTCAGAGACTGCAAACTTAAGTATTTTGAAAAGAATAAAAATAAAATACCAGTAAAAGACGACTGTAAACGGGTTAATTGTATTCCTTAACTCAGAGATATCAGTTCCAAAACCCAATTGGTGTTCAAAATCACACTCAACGACACAATATTTCTGGCATATATTTATTTCATAATTTCAGATTAATTTATGGTATCATAAAAGTAACTTGTATAAAAGCTATACAGTCGGAAGTAACAAAAGAAGACATCACAGTGCTGGTATGTAATGAGATGAACTTAATTACTATAATATTTTGAATCTAGCACTTGTTTCACCTGTTTGTAATTCGAAAATATCCCATGCAATTCTGAGCATTTTTGTAAAATTTCAATATAATTATACTCCTGTTAAGTTTTAAATTTGTGTTAGCTCTTGGTTCACCCTACCTTTGTAAAGAGGAGATGTAAGTGGTTATTTATTTCCGAAACGTTAAGTTAGTGTAATAAAAGAAAAATATTTAATGAAATTTTCGTAGTGAACGAATCTCTTATAATTAAATTGGGTGTGAAGTTATTTGACGATCTTTAAAATCAGCGAGATGATCAGTGGGGAAAAATATCATCGATGTAGAATCATCCTCCGAGATTCTGAATGCAACCAGCTCTTCATTGCTGTTTATTTCATTCTTTACTGACTCTGGCACTTCCACAGAATTTTCAAAATTTGTCCAATTTACAAAATAGTCGGAAAGTGCTGCATCAACAGGAATAACTCTATCGGGATTAGATAAATTAATATCGAGAATGCCACAAAAATAAATATTCAATTTTTTCCATTCCTCAGTTGTCATTAAACGTTTTATCAACTTTGTCGACTGACAAATGTCTATAAATGTTTTATTATTCTTGTCTCTGAAGCATAAAGAAGCATAATAGTTTATGTGTACAAATATTAAAATGTCCAATTTCTCTGAATGGCTGTATATATCCTGCAGTTCTTTTAGTTTTCGTCTCACGTCTTCAAAGGCAACTTTTTGTTCTATAATAAAGTAGATTCTGAGGAAATTTCACACAATTTATGGGACTGTCAACGGTAACGAAATATTTTGTTTTTGAAAATAGAAGTTTTCTGTTAGCATCGTTTTTAATTTCGTTAAAACTTTCTATTAAATGCGTCAAAGGCTGAACATCCTCGTTGAGAATGCTCAGAAGTTGATCGGGAATCGGCTTATCGTCCAGCAAACCAAAATAAAATAAAGTGATGTTATTGCTCTCTGGAAATTTTATGGAAGGAAAGTAATAATCGGCACCAGAAAATTCTTGAATAGGAATTCTGATTGAGTGACTCAAACTGAAAGCAATAACGAATTCGCGAAATGTTTCGTGAAGAAATTTATAGTAGCATTCACAATCCTCATTAACGTCATAACATCGAACTACTATATTTATACCAAGAAGAAATTTACGATCTTTCTCATCAGTAAAACTTTGCATGAATTCAGAAACACTAATATTTTTATTATGCTCTTTGAGTCTTTCCACATAATCAATCTCATCGTCACTTTCTCTTTTGGCTACACTCAGTTCCTTTTCATAAATTGTTTTCCCCAATTTCACTAAAAGATCTTCACCATAGAAATATTTTCCTCTCTTCAAATAGCTGAATTCTTCATTGTTTCTCACATATCCTTCGATTTTAGATTTGAACAATCGGATGAATAAATCAGTCTTCGTCTTGATGTCTTCTACTCGCTCGTCTCGGTATAAACAGCACAATGCGTGGAGTAACATCGGACATTCGGCCAATTGTGCATAAAAGCAGTTGTTCTTCAAAAGATTAAGAAGATTCCGTGCTCGATCGTTCTTTTGCTTAAAAACCAAATTCACGAACATCTCCTCTTCTACAGTTGAAAACTGATCAATAGAGACAACCAAGTTCATATTTTCCTCAAATTGAATTTGGGGAATACAAATTCCTGATCCGAAACGATCGTTAGGTAGATCTAATAACCTATTTCTCATAACAAGTAAACTGTCATCCACCATCTTACCACGAACAGTGAGAAGAATCATCATTTTTTTAGAAATGGCTTGAGAATCTGATGTGATGAAGTTAATAACGGATTGTTGAAAGCTACACTCGTCAAATCCGTCTAAAATAATAAAAAATGTCAAGTTTGCGTGTTTAGTTTTCTCTCTCTCATCCGAGTCCTCTGTTCCACTAACCTTACTTAAGATTAAATTATTCAAATCTGTTTCTTCTTCCTTCCCCAGTTCAATAAACACGACAAAATCAAACTGTTTTAGGTAATTGTCTGGTTGAACAGCTGTAGCCCAATCGTAAGCTAACTTCTTGCAAAGTGTTGTTTTACCATAACCACGATCTCCTCTTAAAAGAATAGTTACGCGACTGTCGAAGTTAATCGAGAAAATCTGATGAAAATAGCCTACATCTGGTCCTTAAAACCTTTACTTCAGAGACTGCAAACTTAAGTATTTTGAAAAGAATAAAAATAAAATACCAGTAAAAGACGACTGTAAACGGGTTAATTGTATTCCTTAACTCAGANGATACAGGGGATCAACAATCCTAGAATAATTTCTCCATCGTCTTCACATCTTGAATATCACACAACGCTTTGGATGATTTTGGGGAACAGGAAATTTAACAATCCTTCGGGTCATGCCACATTACTCGAATTTAAATCCCTACTCTAAATAAATACAGTATGTCAGCCAATCTGATTAAATCACCCGACACACCGTACTAATATCTTGTGTAAAATTAATAATTGGGATTGGTAAATAATAAAATCTATTAAGAGGCAATTATTGATAATCATATTCAATTTATCATTTTATAAATTAAATAATTGCTATGTAAAAGGAATTTATAATAATTATAAGTATGATTGAGATACTTATATCATATTTAAACATGCTTAATATATTATTTGTCATAAATACACATAATTTACATTTAATGTTGTTTTTATCTGATAAAGATTGAACTTAGCATTTAATGACTCCTCTTTTATGCTATATGTTTTATTTGGTATATTTTTTTTATATATTTGCTGTATAATTATAGATTCTGTTTTTTAGTATTAATGGACAGAGTTATAAGTAAAGTATTCTGAATACTTTGGATTAAAATATAAGGCAGGCCAAAAGTCAGGTAATGAGACGAATTATCATTAAAGTTTTTAAAAACAGTTGCAATATTGTTTTGTATATTATAGCATGGATGACTTGTTTTGAGCAATAACAAAATATTTGTGTAAGTTAACACTAGCATTACAGTAGTTAACTTACTTTTGGACCATCCCTTTGTGACAAAAACATATGTTTTTAAAATTTTTATGATTTAACATCCTATTCACCTCAAAACTTATTTGCTACTAAAATTTGTAAAGCAGAGTAAAGTTTAGTATATGTAATGTAGCAGTTTTTGTTATTGTTCTTAATTAATAACAGTGAATGGTGATTAGCTACCTGGCAGTGTTTAAGCTAACAAAAATGAGTTAATTTCTTACTAATTCAATTCAATTGTTTTATTATATTATTGTCAATTAAGGACTTATATTAATAGGAGGTGTGCAGATTTTTGCAAAGGAGGAATTCTTATTCAGAAAAATAAAAAATTATTGTTCTGAATAAGAATTCTTCCTTTGCAAAAATTGGCACACCAGTATAATAGTTTTATTAACTTCATAAATCCTTAGTTGATGATAATATAATAAAATAGTATAATATAAGGATATAAAGGCAATTAAATCAATTCAAGTTTATTTGTACTAGAAGTGTTACGAGTTACTATTCTAGCTAATTAAGTTATAAAATGTAATTAAATACAGAGTTATGTGTATTTAATTATATGTAGAGAATATGTAGTGATAGGGAAAAAATCTAATATCCCATTGTACTATTAATGACATAGCTCTTTTTACTATCAATATATTTTNAATCATCCTCCGAGATTCTGAATGCAACCAGCTCTTCATTGCTGTTTATTTCATTCTTTACTGACTCTGGCACTTCCACAGAATTTTCAAAATTTGTCCAATTTACAAAATAGTCGGAAAGTGCTGCATCAACAGGAATAACTCTATCGGGATTAGATAAATTAATATCGAGAATGCCACAAAAATAAATATTCAATTTTTTCCATTCCTCAGTTGTCATTAAACGTTTTATCAACTTTGTCGACTGACAAATGTCTATAAATGTTTTATTATTCTTGTCTCTGAAGCATAAAGAAGCATAATAGTTTATGTGTACAAATATTAAAATGTCCAATTTCTCTGAATGGCTGTATATATCCTGCAGTTCTTTTAGTTTTCGTCTCACGTCTTCAAAGGCAACTTTTTGTTCTATAATAAAGTAGATTCTATTTAACTGTTGAGGAAATTTCACACAATTTATGGGACTGTCAACGGTAACGAAATATTTTGTTTTTGAAAATAGCAGTTTTCTGTTAGCATCGTTTTTAATTTCGTTAAAACTTTCTAATAAATGCGTCAAAGGCTGAACATCCTCGTTGAGAATGCTCAGAAGTTGATCGGGAATCGGCTTATCGTCCAGCAAACCAAAATAAAATAAAGTGATGTTATTGCTCTCTGGAAATTTTATGGAAGGAAAGTAATAATCGGCACCAGAAAATTCTTGAATAGGAATTCTGATTGAGTGACTCAAACTGAAAGCAATAACGAATTCGCGAAATGTTTCGTGAAGAAATTTATAGTAGCATTCACAATCCTCATTAACGTCATAACATCGAACTACTATATTTATACCCAGAAGTAATTTGCGATCTTTCTCATCAGTAAAACTTTGCATGAATTCAGAAACACTAATATTTTTATTATGCTCTTTGAGTCTTTCCACATAATCAATCTCATCGTCACTTTCTCTTTTGGCTACACTCAGTTCCTTTTCATAAATTGTTTTCCCCAATTTCACTAAAAGATCTTCACCATAGAAATATTTTCCTCTCTTCAAATAGCTGAATTCTTCATTGTTTCTCACATATCCTTCGATTTTAGATTTGAACAATCGGATGAATAAATCAGTCTTCGTCTTGATGTCTTCTACTCGCTCTTCTCGGTATAAACAGCACAGTGCGTGGAGTAACATCGGACATTCGGCCAATTGTGCATAAAAGCAATTGTTCTTCAAAAGATTAAGAAGATTCCGTGCTCGATCGTTCTTTTGCTTGAAAACCAAATTTACGAACATTTCCTCTTCTACTGTTGAAAACTGATCAATAGAGACAACCAAGTTCATATTTTCCTCAAATTTAATTTGGGGAATACAAATTCCTGATTCGAAACGATCGTTAGGTAGATCTAATAACCTATTTCTCATAACAAGTAAACTGTCATCCACCATCTTACCACGAACAGTGAGAAGAATCATCATTTTTTTTGAAATAGCTTGAGAATCTGATGTGATGAAGTTAATAACGGATTGTTGAAAGCTACACTCGTCAAATCCGTCTAAAATGATTAAAAATGTCAAGTTTGCGTGTTTAATTTTCTCTCTCTCATCCGAGTCCTCTGTTCCACTAACCTTACTTAAGATTAAATTATTCAAATCTGTTTCTTCTTCCTTCCCCAGTTCAATAAACACGACAAAATCAAACTGTTTTAGGTAATTGTCTGGTTGAACAGCTGTAGCCCAATCGTAAGCTAACTTCTTGCAAAGTGTTGTTTTACCAAAACCACAATCTCCTCTTAAAAGAATAGTTACGCGACTGTCGAAGTTAATCGAGAAAATCTGTTTTAATTCTACACCGTCTCCTTTATCTCCTATTTGTAAAAATTCTCCTTTCAGAATATCTAAATTGGAAAAATGTTCCTGTAAAGGAAAACCGTTTTTGTTTTCACTCGATAACCAAGAATCAACACAAGCATAATTCTTCTTATAGAACTCCACCATATTCTCTCGATACTTCATGATTAAATCTGAAATAATAAAACACAGGATAAAAGTAAGTTTTAGCTACTAAGTTTAATTTTCCTTTATGATAATTCCTCTTCTGTTAAATATTTAAATAATTACCTTTGCTTTTATTACTGGAACTTTGACTTAAAGATTCAGACCCAACTGCACTCATATTGATTTTGTGTAGTGACTGTTGAAATAATAATAATAATATTATTATTATTAAATCATTATCTTACAATTAGAAAAACAATAAATATTCTAAATTATAATTATTGTATATTGAAATTGCAAATAATGCAATCTGACTTACAAATGATAATTCGCCCCCCTCTCAACAGAGAAAGAAAACATGTCAGATTGTTTAGTTAGAATAAAACTTTGTTATATAAATGCTGTATATCCAGGAAAACTATGGAGAGAGTGATGAATTACTTATCACCAAGAAGATGCAAGAAAGGACAGTCTTGCATAACAGGAGAAGGGCAATGGAAATAATGAAAACGAGTAGAAGATAGCACTTAGAAGAACCCATATGCACAACGGAGGAATAGATTACAAGTAAACCAACTATATACTTTTTACAGACACGAAAAAAATCATAATAAACTAAGCGGATGTCGTGGGTCAGGCACGTATCTAAAACTAACTATTGTGTTCAGTACCACGTGGAAACTGGTGGAAAAAATGAAAATAAAATAGTAAGTATTTATAGTTATTTATAACATCAAAAAGTAATTAAATAATTCTGACATTTCTCTTATTCCTCCTCTTGAACAATTCGAAAATAGTTAAGGATCCAACAGTTCCGAAAACCAATGGCTCCCCATAGACCAGTAGTTTTCAATGAGAGACCATAAAAAAATATAAAATAGAGAAACCATTGTTATTATTTGTATCCTGAAGGCAACTTTGACCCGTCAGTGCAGGGTCAAAGTTGAGAGCCAGTATGCTGAGTACAGTTAATTTTTTTCTGATATTTAAAATATAAAACTCTTCTACTATTCTGTGACATTATAAATACGATTTAAATACTTCTCACCAATTTTATTCTCTTCTATATACATCCAGCAGAAATAAATAAACTGGTAAATATATCAAGTAGCAGCTGATACACTAAAGAGACAATGGACTGCTTCTTATGCAGATAAAATAATGAAATGTTAAAAATATTGACAGGATATAGTTATCATATATACTATAACTGTATCCTGTAAAGTCACAGTTTCGAGCTTTTATACTTTCCCCGTTATTATAAACAACAGAGGCGATCAGTTAGAAAGTTCCCCCCTAAAATTTTTTGTTCACCCTTTTTGAAGCTTAATAACTCCTGTGCTTTTTGTCCAAAATTTCTGAAATTTGGCAGGGAAGTTTCTTCATTAGGGGGATTGATGCTATTAAATTTTGGTGGAGAAAGATCGAGGGGTGGAGGAATAATTGGAGTCTTGTTTATCTTAGTGTCGGATTTAATGACGATTTTACTCGTTACAAGCATTTACACTTTTTTTTAAAATAAAATCCATCCCTACCCGGAAAATTAAGTTTTTTGTTTTTCTATTTTATAATAGCTTAAAACATAAGTTCTTTTAATACAATATAAAAACAGATAGCGCCAGAAACTTTTAAATGTTCCCGGGAAAGTTGAGCAACTCGTTGATGGTTTATTTACTATTACTTTTAAGTTCGGCTTACAAGGAAGTGGGTTCACTAATCTTTCTATACGTAACTTCATTTTGTTCCGCATTAATCTTTATACAAATAATAATTCTATTATTAAAAGGGTTAAACAAAAGTTTACAATTAATACATTAATTATGCATTTATTCCCTATTTTGCTTTCGTAGGAGACCTGACTAGAAGACTTGTCCTAACAGATAGATAATTTTGGCGGCGACGCGCTTAAAACGGCTACAATCTCATCGGATTATTTACCAACTATGCACCCCATAGCGTAACGTTGTTTTCATCGCGGAGTAGCACGTTTTAGGCGGAGACTTACAAATCGTATCACGTGATCTCGCTGACGTATTTCCGTCAACCGCTATGTCAGAAAACGGAAAAACGGAAAAAACGGAAAAAACCAAGCACACGCTGACGCCGATAACTGCAAGTCTCGATGCACGATTGACTTGCAGTTTTCATGTATTTATACTGATATATTAAAACATTACTTTAACGGATTCTTTTATCTATTTAAATGCCGACAGGTGTGTAGCGCACGTAGCGTCGGAACGAGTTATTACCAAGCAATTTTAAATATTATAAATAATAATTACCTCTACGATCCTTTTGCTAATCACGAGTATTGTCAGAAATTCACAAACGTCAGACGACGATGATTGCGTGGCCGTGTGACCCGGAAAAATAGTCGCGAACGTTTTATAATGTGTGTAGTACCACGTGATTTAGTAACGGTAATGACCTTGATCTCGTTTCACCCGCGATATTACGCAGCTTCCGGGTTGTTAGTTTTTGTTTCGTTTTCTCTGTTCTGAGGGATGTAATAACGTTTAAATCTTTATTTTTATACACCCAATTATGTCATGATATTATAGAATTGATACAGTTAAAATTTATAAGTTTATGACAGTATATTTGTTTCTCTGACTTGTTAATGCCTCTAGAGGGCACTGTCCATTGCATATTTAAATTGAGAGAAAACACGTGGTTGTCATGTGTTGTCATACTGGCTTGGTATTGTTTTCGATGTCATCTGTCTACTTAGATATTTTGTCAACTGATTTGTAGTGTATATATTTGTTACGTAATTTTTACTTCTGTTGTGATGAAATTCATGGGTTTAAAGTCCATAAATACGGTGTATATTTTATGAAAGTCACTTGTAATACGGTTTTCAATGTGAAGAGTAAGATATTGATCTTAATAAAACTTTATTTTGCATATTTAAAAGCCACAAACAAGTTATATATATAACAAATAATAAATTGATAAATGATTTTTAATTTCTTATGTTAATTAAAATTATATATACCAGTACTGGTACTGTAATTGAAATTATGTATGGTTTCCATTGTAATTACTCAATAATCTCAGGGCATTAAAAACATGTAATTTTGCATTGCACATACATAATTAATCTTATTTGAACTAATTGTACTGTACATTCAAATAATCAAGAACAGACAAATTTGAATGTTACTTTGATTTGTAGATTAGTTATTTATTACATGAATTGATGTTAAAATGATTAACTGATGATTTATCTGAATCTTAATAAAGTGTATAAAATATATTTGTTTAGTTTAAGTTTTAAAATTATAATATATTAAGCTATTCAGCATAGTGTTATGTGTTTAGTTTCAGTTTCGGTTTCAATTCTACCTCCTTTCTTGTGTTTTGTGCTGAGAAGATCAAGAAGGACTGATCCTAAGAAAAAGGTGATAGAGGTAAGGAATAAGATTCTATTTGTGAGTAAAACTGAGAGTAGTGTTCTAAGGTTTAAGAACTGATTCTCCATCCTCTTTTCCTCATTTCTCTTTCTTTTCTCTTCTCTCTTGCCCTTGCATTTTTTGAGGATACAGGGGATCAACAATCCTAGAATAATTTCTCCATCGTCTTCACATCTTGAATATCACACAACGCTTTGGATGATTTTGGGGAACAGGAAATTTAACAATCCTTCGGGTCATGCCACATTACTCGAATTTAAATCCCTACTCTAAATAAATACAGTATGTCAGCCAATCTGATTAAATCACCCGACACACCGTACTAATATCTTGTGTAAAATTAATAATTGGGATTGGTAAATAATAAAATCTATTAAGAGGCAATTATTGATAATCATATTCAATTTATCATTTTATAAATTAAATAATTGCTATGTAAAAGGAATTTATAATAATTATAAGTATGATTGAGATACTTATATCATATTTAAACATGCTTAATATATTATTTGTCATAAATACACATAATTTACATTTAATGTTGTTTTTATCTGATAAAGATTGAACTTAGCATTTAATGACTCCTCTTTTATGCTATATGTTTTATTTGGTATATTTTTTTTATATATTTACTGTATAATTATAGATTCTGTTTTTTAGTATTAATGGACAGAGTTAAAGTAAAGTATTCCCAATACTTTGGATTAAAATATAAGGCAGGCCAAAAGTCAGGTAATGAGAAGAATTATCATTAAAGTTTTTAAAAACAGTTGCAATATTGTTTTGTATATTATAGCATGGATGACTTGTTTTGAGCAATAACAAAATATTTGTGTAAGTTAACACTAGCATTACAGTAGTTAACTTACTTTTGGACCATCCCTTTGTGACAAAAACATATGTTTTTAAAATTTTTATGATTTAACATCCTATACACCTCAACACTCATTTCCTACTAAAATTTGTAAAACAGAATAAAGTTTAGTATATGTAATGTAGCAGTTTTTGTTATTGTTCTTAATTAATAACAGTGAATGGTGATTAGCTACCTGGCAGTGTTTAAGCTAACAAAAATGAGTTAATTTCTTACTAATTCAATTCAATTGTTTTATTATATTATTGTCAATTAAGGACTTATATTAATAGGAGGTGTGCAGATTTTTGCAAAGGAGGAATTCTTATTCAGAAAAATAAAAAATTATTGTTCTGAATAAGAATTCTTCCTTTGCAAAAATTGGCACACCAGTATAATAGTTTTATTAACTTCATAAATCCTTAGTTGATGATAATATAATAAAATAGTATAATATAAGGATATAAAGGCAATTAAATCAATTCAAGTTTATTTGTACTAGAAGTGTTACGAGTTACTATTCTAGCTAATTAAGTTATAAAATGTAATTAAATACAGAGTTATGTGTATTTAATTATATGTAGAGAATATGTAGTGATAGGGAAAAAATCTAATATCCCATTGTACTATTAATGACATAGCTCTTTTTACTATCAATATATTTTATTGAAGTTATATTAAATAAAGTATGCACCAATTAACAATATTATTATTAACCAAAGATTTTATATATATAGATGTACTATAATTATGATTTCTTTTTTTTAAAGTAATATAATTGTAAAAGGTCTTCTAACTCGAAAGTTACCTACTTTAAAACTGAAGAGAGATAGAACTGTCCGAAATGCCTATTTAATAAAATAGAACGGATAAAAAAACTTTTTTGGTCCAATTGAAAACATACTCCAAAAGGTGCAATAAGGTGCAAACACCACAGACAAAATGTCAACAACACTATTTTAGCTAACTGATGCCTTTCTTAGTTTCTGAGCATTGAGGAATATGTTTTACAACATAAGCTAGTTTAAGCAATTCAGATAATTGTTTAGTATATCACTGTGTAATACTCTTGTATATTGGAGTTGAAGTAGCCCTGCAATTAAAGATATGTTGATTGCTTTATTAAGTTAACAGCAGGTAACAGTTCAGAAAGAATTAAACTGTTATCCAGTGTGAACCATATATTATTTGCTTTTAACTGGGATCTGGGATAGATCCACAAGGAAATACAGGGCAAAAGACTTTCCATTGGCACAGAAAGCTTTAATTTTATTTATTCAACTTCCAATCATTGTTTTTTTATAAACATTAATGATTTTAAATATGTTATGACACTGATTGGGATTGCTTTATCTGCTGCTTTATTTCACATGTGCATTAAATGTGTTATAAACATGTTATAATGTTATATTTCTAAATAGTTGAAAGTTGTTAATATGTATAGTTATGAAGTGGCACATCTATGGGGTGGGCTGAAAGGCTTTGGCACTCTTCTAAGTAAAATGAAAAGAAACACTAGTAAAAACTATAATAAGTTCTAGTTTACTGTGCATAGAATTGTAAACACTAGTAAATTTTTCAAAAATATTTTCCTAATTAAAATTTCTCTTTTTTATTTATATTGTATCATGTGTTTTATTTCTATATTACTAATGAATTTGCAGTCACATAAGGTGGGAAATTTATTCAGTTTGCGTTAAAATTTTTTTATTTGTTCAACTCTGCTCCCTCAAGATTAAATCATAAGTGCGATACTGGTTATGACCATCCACAGTGGATAGAAACTGAAGGTATGCTGTCAGAGTATGCAGGGTATTAATGCGTGCCTCAAAATTTTGTTAAATATATATTTTTATTGAAGTTTTGTAGCAGAAATGCAAATGTATCACAATTTCTCTGCTAATACACATGCATTTTGATCTCTCTTGCACCGTACCTAGTGCAAGGCATAAAGTTTTTAGATTATCATGGCTCCTGCCAATGAGATTAGGATTAGGCACTGTCTTCATCTCCCATAAAGTTCATATACATATCCACACCTAACAAATTAGTCCTGAATGTAGACCAGTAAAATTTGTGATCAAATTGTTACATGCTTTTGCATTATGAGTAGCATGAGAGTTTTTAACTTATTTAAAGGTTATATTTAGTTACTCATGTTATATGCCTTTCTATTTCTATTATTCGGAGCTTTGGGAGTTTGCTCTACAACTCTTTCAATGCTTCCTTGTTTACTATTTGATTTACATATGCATATTGTTATAGTATTGACATTTCTTTTCACTGAATCATCATAATTCATAAATAGTTCATTTGCAAAAGGAAAGTAATATAAAATTTTATAATTCTGTATAACAATTTAATAAGGGTCCAATATGTATTTACATTCAGATCTATCCTTAAGAAATATGACTTCTGACTGGGACTATTGAAAGATAAACAATAATTATATATTTTTTTCTATCCACTCTGTTTAATATGGTTACAAATAACTGTATCTTGTCAATCTTTATATTTTTCTAAATGGACTTGTAATTTTTATCATTATTAAGTGTAGAAATTCCAGTACTAGCAAACAGGTAGTTTGAATAAAGTTTTGAAAAGATCCTTTGTTTCTTTATAGAGATATTTCAGTTAGAATTCCAGAATTTGTCTGCTTTTATAGCCTGATAATGTTATAAAATTAAGTTTTGGAATGGAGTAATGAGATAAGACAATGCAAACATGTGGGTAATCTGTCATATGTGAGATGCCTTCTGAATTGACTTTTAATGGGAATTGGTCTACACTGTATTTATGTATTAGACACACAAAGAAAATCCTGAAAACACCACAAAATTGGCAAATTGTTCAGGCACAAACCTACTACCAAGTGCCAACATTCAGTGGCCTTCTCCATTCAGCTTGTAGAGGCAAAATTTAAGTTTAGAACAATAATGTTATTAAGTAGATATCAAGTTACAGCATTAGGAAGTGAGCTTCAGAGGAAAATATGCAGGGAAGAAACTCACGATTCTTATAATTGGCCCTGCATAATTTTTAGATAAATTATTTGATAGGAAACTTTCTGTCTATAACTTTACTATTTCTTCTGATATATCAATTCTAATATGAAAATATTTNAATAATTCTCACATT